AGCATTCATCATTGTTGGTGTAACAAACTATAAATAATCATGTTTTAAGGGGATATATATATATATATATATATATAAATTCCTTGATTTTTGCTGATTACATGATATTTTTTTCTACTACTGGTTTATTTTCATTTCATGCGGATCATTTGGATGTAGATTGAATTGCACTCATGTCCAATATTGTCTTTAAATGGTTGTGTTTAGAATATATTCTTCCTGAGGCTGAAGTAGTAGCAGGAGAAGTTAAAGAATTCAACACATATGAGCTATTCACGCTTCTTCCTGCCCAGAAATCTTTGGCATTGTTTAAAGGGTATATAATAAAAAATAATTTTTTTCGTCTCTTCATTTTACTAGCATATTATGGGTTGGAAATCAAAACCACTCAATTGCAACGGAACGAAAAATATCAGTGTTTATTAATTATAAAGTCTTGAGTTACCGTATAATACAAGGTAGAGTAGTTATATTTCCGGAATTAAATATCTACCCCATAACTATGAATCCTAAGGCGCCTAAAGTATCTCTTTAGTTCCTTTTAGTCCCTCATCTTAATAAATTTGAAAGTTTTAGTCTTTTATTTTATATTATGAAGTTTTTACCTTTTAAATTTAAATATTTTGTTAACTATTCGTCAAAGTGAGAATAAAATATTTGTATATAAAATTAGTTCTTAAAGATTAAAAATACAATAATTTAGTCTCAAAGTTTAAAAATTTAAAAAAATAGTAAATTAAAAATAATTAATGGATGTCTTTGTCACATATATAAAAATAATATTAGATATTTATAATTAAATAAAGTGATTAGCTCCATCTAAACAGAGAAATTTAATTGAGATTAAAGAAATTTTTTTTTTTGTATTTTTCTAGTATTTTAGATTTTTTATCTTAATTTAGTTAAGAAATTTTCTTTAATCTTAATCAAAATTCTTTCTTCAAATTGAGTTAATTGCTTGATTTATTATAGATATCTAATATTATTCTCTTTTATGTGGTAAAGATATCCATTAATTATTTTTAGCTTAATAATTCTTTTAATTTTTAAACTTTAAAAATTAAATTCTTATATTTTTAATCTTTAAAGGTTGATTTTATAAATATTTTATTCTTATCTTAATGGAGGGTTAATGATTTTGTTAGTTTAAGAGTTAAAATTTTCAAATCTTTAAGTTTAGGACTAAAAACTTTATAATATAAAGTGAGAGGATAAATCCTTCAAATTTATTAAGTTAAGGGATTAAAGAAATACTTTGGCCTAATATTTACAAACATGCCCCTGTCTTCTTCCCCATTTTTCTTCAACGCAGTGCTTGCTCTGTTTTCCAGATTTAGAACATAAGCAGAGCCTTTTTTTTTTTTCAATGAATCGCACTAAACAAAGCAGCAAAACAGATTTTTAAAATTTCAAGGGGTGCTCCTGGGCACGACCGACCAAGTTTCCTAATTTTATAAGTTGATTGGAGTCCATGAGAAGATGAAGAAAAAGACTCGCTAGATCCCTTTCTCTTTTCTTCCATGAACAATTATGATTGTTCTTGAGTGAATGATGAAAACAGTAAGTAGTCTTACATCCAAATTAAACTCAAACACAATGACAGTAAGTTTCTCAAACAATTCAAAGTTGAAAACCATGAAAGCAGAACACCTCGAATACATAAAACATCATACATATAACATAGTGTCCATCATACATAAAACAGGAAAGGCAAAGCACCCATGGGAAAGGAAAAGGAAGAGGAAAACACCCAACAATACATAAGACCAGAAAGCATACGAGTTTTGCTTCAAAACATCATACATATAAATAGCATGGTGTTCTTAATTAGAATTCGTCAGTCCATACCTCCTGACCAAGTATGGTTAGTCTTCTTCTTGCTCCAATCCTGTAACGCACTGGGAAGCCTTCCAGACGCTGAAATATGATTATGTCATCAACTCTCAGTCCTTTCTCACGGACATAGTGGCACCACCCTGATTTCAGAACAGGCCGCGGGTTTTGGTTCGCTCGGACGTAGTATCCGAAATTCCATTCTCTCCCACCTGCATCTGATACCGTTACATTTGTGA